TTGGACTCGATGATCTGCTCAGGTCCCTTCTGACCCCACAAACTATGAAACTATAAGCCCAGTGTTAGCAGTCTTCTCGCTTTTCCCTGCCATTATGCAGGACGGCTCTCTGACTCCCACCTTCTTGATGAAGCAGGTCACCGTCTGCCCGACTTTGTAAGCCTTGAGCTCCTCGCTCAGTTCATCCCCTTCAGTGTTCAGAGTTGTGCAGCCTTTCCCCTTCAGCACACTGTTCACAAAGGAAAGAGACAGGAGAACCATCACAGAGCTGGAGGGCGAGGGAGCCCTCCCTGAGCAAAGCTCTGCAGCATGGAAGAGCCATGTCCCCCCTGGATGCAAAGATCCCCACATTCTTGTCTCCACCAATGGGCTTCACCAAACCCACTGACCCAAGGCTCTTCCACAGAAGCACGCAGGGAGCTGGTGTTTGCTTTCAGGGTTTTCCATCTGCACAGCGCTTACAAACATTAACCCAGGCTGGCATGAAGCTAAACGGAAACCAAGGCTCTTACCTTGGCCGAAGGCTGAGTTCTGGAATGGTCTTTGTGAAGTGTGGATGGGTGATGGGCAAGTACCTGGAAAACAGGAAAATGCTGAGTACTTTTCCCCTAATGCCCTCTGTACAGAGGCATTTACTGCCACCTCAAAGCAGAGTCTCTCTCATTCTTTGCCTCAGCTTACCTTTGAGGAGTTTCCTCCCTTGCAAAGGGAGGCTGAAATGCAACCATCAAGGAACCGAGCAGCAGCCCCAGGTGTTTAGATTGGGATTTTGTGCCCAAACCCCACTGAATTCCAATGGGACTTATAGATCATCATTGCTGCTGAAAATCAAGCCCTTACGCCTTTATTCAGAATGCGCCTTGCTTCACTGGACAGCAACAGAAGCTCTGACTAAGAGGGACATCACGCATCTTTATGCCTATAACCCATGCCAGGGACACACCTCCCACCTCCAGCAGTAAAAGTGCAGTGCATGAATGGTACTCTGCCCAGGCTGGGGGCTTCTGTACAGTGGAAAATTCCCCTGGGGCTTCAACCTCTAGAGCTGGAATGAGGAGCATCTGAATTAAATCTGCTCCATCACCAGATTCCTCAGGAAGGGACCAAGCAGCTCTCTCCCTCTACCTGTGCGTCTTCACATCTCTGCCTCCAATGACCCTCGCAGTCACTTTCTGGCCAGGTCTCAGCTTGGATGTTGGAAAGGTGCCAATCGGAACTTTGTCCAAGATCTGCGATGCGTGGATACAACCTGTCAGTTCGTCACTGATGGCAACTGTGATGCGGGTGGGCTTGACAGACTTCACCTTCCCAGTGACTGTATCCCCTATGCGCAGCGAGTGCTGCACTAAAACCAAGGTCTCCTCAAATGTCTCGGACTCTTTCCGGGGTCTTATAACTGCCTTGGCTGGGCCTTGTACTGCTAGCAGGACTCCGTGTTCACCCGGCTTCACTGTTTTTAAGGTCACCAAGATGGTTTGCCCCACCTTCAGTCTCTCCGAGTCAAAACGGAACGTGTCATTGAAGTGACAGGCCACAGGGATGGCAGTCAGCTGACCCGTTTCCACCAATGAGGCAATGGCAAACTCTTCTGCAACATGCTGCACGACAGCAGAGTGCTGGGAATTTTCCTTCAACTGTGAAACAGAAATGATGACTTTGCTGTAGGAACATCAGATTTCAATGCCAGGACATCCACAGCCCTCCCCAGCACCCAACACCTCTCCCTCCCTGCCACAAAAGACACAGCAATGATGAATTTTAGACAAGAAACATTAATAGAGGAAGATGCACACCAGGGTCAATAAAAGACAAGTCAGACATACCTGCTTGACTTTTTGGTTCAACAGCTCTTCTCGAAGGGAGACATGAACTTGGGATTTAAGGGCATTTACATGCAGAATCAAGGCTCTAGCTTTCTGACCAGGGACAAGGTTTCTGTCTATAAACAAGAGTGAGAATAGAATGTTAACTTCTGATGGCAATGAAGGATTTCAAGCAACTGAGACCCACTGGCATATAAAAGAGGTGAGCAATACCAGGAGCACCTGGATTAGCTGAATTACTAGTGGTACCACACTCACTTAAGGAAAGATCCATTAGTTACAGCTACTACTAGCAGCCAGATGTACAAGACCTCATTTCTGGAAATGAAGACCAATGCCCCCAACATTAGTGGCACTGAAAAAGTGACAGAAAGCACTATCAAGCTGATTTTATAATGGTATAATTCCTATTATCTGGAATCAGTATGCAGATTAGAGGGCGTGCCCAAACATAAATGGATCTTTAAACAGTAATAAAGAGGCATTATAAATGAGATGGTCATGTTGTACCAAAACACTACCTCTAGTAAACAATGATAGAACAAAATACTGAAAAACCATTCCAAATTCAGTGTGGCATCCCCATGGCATACCAAATGAATTGCTGAAAACAGCTAGTATACACATTCCAGCTTCTACGGGAAGAAGGAAAAGGTATTTATGGTAAGTTTCTCACAAATACATTGCTTTGCTCTACCAGACAGGATCTCAAAACACTAAGCCCTACAAAACACCTGGGAAGGAAAGAGCTATACCCATGCTACAGATGAAGAGAACAGAGGCACAGATGTAGCTTAGTCAGCTTGCCTCAATGAGTTAGTGATACAATTAGAAATAGACCCCCAGGAGCCTACTCCTGCACTTGAAATAAGCTCTATTTTACATAATTTCCCCAGCAATTTATTTCATCCCAGACTAAAGGGTTTTAGAGCATGATGACAACATTGGGCAGAGCAACAAGAGAAGGTCATGTGACATTCCTGACCTCCCAGGTGATGGGAAGTGGCTGCTACAGTCAATCCAGCAATGCGGCTGCCACTAAAGAGTGCTGAGCCGTCCTCCTTCACTTCCTGAACAACCAAGTCCAGTTTCTGCCCGAACATTAAGCTGTAAAGGTTTTGGGCTGCCTTGGAATGCCCTAGACAGATGGAGGGAGAAAAGGCAGAAAGTTAGCTTCATCTAAATTGCATCTTTGCAAGAAATGAGACTGTTTCACTCTTGCTTAGAAGAGATTGTAAAAGCCTGTGTTCCCACCTTTACAAAAGATCCTTTACATCCTAGACTGAGAGCTTGTAAAAAAAAATCTTTAAAACTTAATGGAAATAGAAACAAGTTAGAATTACTTCTGCTGAACTGCCATGATTAGATGCAAATGCTCCTTTGCCCTAGAGAAACCTTGGCACACATTACTATGTGCAGGAGAAAACAACTGACCAATCTCATTCTGCTACATTAAGGCAAGTGAAAGGCTAAGGTTTATTTTAAAAAGCCAGCATCAAAAGTTGGAAATGTAATTCAGAGTTTGGTAAAAACAGATTTGGAAGCCATATGGTTTCAAACACAAATAAATGTGTTATTTAAAAGACAAGGGCCAAAATTTGCTAAAGTTATCTGGTTAATCATACAGAAGTAGGGCTGGAAGGGACTTCAAGAGGTTATCTAATCCAACACCCTGCTTGAGGCAAGGGAGGTCTCACCTCCCATGCAGGGATCAATCTATGACCTTGGTGTTATTAGCACCATGCTCTAAGCAACTGAGCTAAAACCTTATCCAAGCATGCAAATACTGCATTTGTGTTGCAGGTATGGGTTTTTAAAAAGCACTCATGTTGGCCTAACAACTCACACTGATGTTAGTGGGAGTTTTGTTGCAGATGTCAAAGAAAGACAATGCTCAGATGAGGAGAACAGAAGCAGAGGCACGGTATTGGCAAATCCCAACCAAAAAAGGGACCGTTTCTATACATTTGTGTGATGACTGGTGCATGTATAAACATGGATTTCTGTGCCCACAGACACTGCAAGTCCAATTAAGGATGTCTGATAAAAATCACAGTCATCATTATTAACCCTTTCAACTGATTACCTGGGCCTCAAAACTCAGGGCAAAAGTTCATTATTAGTATCCCTTTCTAATTCATTATTAGTATCCAGCTGACGTCAGTAATGCACAGGTACTATCACGTTAACACAGTCCACAGTTGTTCCTTATTTTGATAGATGCATTATACTTGTTTGCATAATTGCTACAAAAAGACACCAACAGAAGCAGATTTTGAAGTCCATTAATGAAGTTCTTCGTGGGCTGAAGGGAGTGTGGTGAAAGCTCATGTCCATGATTTATTTAGTCTGTGGGATACAAATCTGTCCTGTCTTCTGCTAGTTTCAAAAAGAAAGTACCAGTGAAAGATTCTTTTCCCCAAGGCTGCTAACCTATAAATGAGCAGAGCTGTTCTGGCAGCCAGACACAGAGCGCTAACACAGCCTGGCTCACTGTTTTACCAATTATTCCATTCTTTGTTTGCATTTTTCCAGCCTTTTCATTGTAGTCTCACCATTACATCTTCTGCATTTCTAAGGTGCCTCCTCTTGGTGTCCAGGTGTCACTCTATTTAATAACTCTTTCCTAAATTAAAGCATGCACTGATATTCCTGCCTTTGGTGCATATATCTGGATACTGTGAGGGGCCTTTACACAGGTGATCAAGGCTCTCACCTGAGAGAAAGCACTCAGGGAATTCAGGCCTGAGTGCCAGCAATTCCTATTCACTGGCTCTGCACAGCAGCTGCGCATACAAATCAAAGTGCACTCCATGGCTGTTCAGACAGCATCAGGGGAAGGCAGGCAGCGGGTGCTTTTTTCTATCGAGGGTCAGCAAGCTGCAATTTCTTCATTCCTTTTGCACACAAAGCAGGTCTCACTTCTGCCTTACCTCTCCAAGGCTTATCCCTAGAGATGTTTTGGTCAAGGGCACTAAGACCTGATCAGGTAAATCCAAACAGAACAGCAAGGTTCCCAGGATGCCCCATAATTCTGCTCTTCACCTTACAGGGGAGCACCTGTTTTGATCGTCTGCACCTCGCGTACTCTTTCTGGTCTACATCAGGATGAGGATAACATCACAGCTTGTGTCTCTCCCCCCCGTCCTCAGTCACTTTAGAGCTCGGTTTGCTCCCATTGAGACTGCAAAAATTCCATGGATTTCTATGGGAGCAAGAGGCCTTTCCTTTGACAGATATGTCTGTGCCCAAAAAAGTTCCCTTTGTTCATAAGCCTTTAAAGGCCAGGACTCTCATTCTACATACATATGGATCTCCTAATAAGCTCTGCTCACAAATTAAGCCATTGCTTTTCTGGCTCAATTTATCTGAAAGAACACAATGCATTTTCTCCTGGTTTTATTTCCCCAAGAGCTCAGTTTTGTGCTCTGACCATGTGGGCACAGGGCTGTAAAAGCTGGCTAAAACCTCACCTCTTTTTCTCATGATGCTCCTGACCTCCTTCATCTCCTCAAAGCATTGGCTCAGCAAGGAGATGCTCTTGGCAGCAGGATCTTCTGCGCTACATTCAGATAGCTTCAGGCACAGGAGAACCCGCTGCTTCGCCTCATCAATGCTTGTCACTTTGGCAACCACCGTCTGTCCCACCACAAAATGCTCCTTGGTGTCTGTCACAAACTTGTCACTCATGGCCTGTGTGGGAAAAGGATGAGGGCATTAGGGAATTACTTAAACCATGTTAAACCCCTGTGTGGACAGTCATACTCAGCATTAAAGTGGCTTCATTCCATTTACTTTAATTCACTTCAGAAGCAAATTTAAAACAATCATAGCATCAGTCTTCACCACAATCAGCTGGGCAGTGAGTCTGCAGATGTGCTGTTCCTTGAGCCCTTAAGCCTGCCTCTCAAACAACTGTGAGGTGCCAACAAGCTGCTTTGCAAAGGGAAGTCAAGCCTGGCTTACCGCTTTGGGTGCCAGTCCAGCCAGGCCAAAAGGAAACTCCACGAACACTCCGTAGGGCATAATGTTCTTCACGAAACCAGTCAGCTGCATCCCTGGCTGGATTTCAGAAAAGCTCCTCACCACCTGCCCCTCCTCAACAGCAGAAATCAATGCAGGCTTTCTGCACAACATCTGAACCACAGTCAAGGACCAGAGCCTTATAAGCAGAAGAGGAGACAGAAACAGCCCTGATGCTTAACAAATCCCCTGCTACCACCATCTACCCTCAACTGTGGTTTCCTAAAGTCCTTGCAAGTTCTGCAATACTGCAGTTTAAGAATCATGCCGCTTGGGTTACCATCTTGCTTTCCCAGTACTGATTATTTAGCAGCCAGTATCTTGGATGCTGTTAGAATTACATCATGCTGCATTACACCATGTGAAAGATGGAATTCTAAAATTATGGGCTGAGCAAAAAAAAAGCTGTTGTAAGTTGCTTGCTTAAAATCTTGTTATACTTGATATTCATGTGAAAAATGTGTGGTAAGGCTTGGTACCCCAAGGAAGTACAAGAGCTATAAACAATACCCATCTATGACAAGATTTGCAATATTATACAAGGCTCAGTTCCAGCTTGGGAGGTATACAAGAAATCAGCTGTTCTGACCATCACTCGTTCCCAAGACTGGTCCAGGTTTCATGGTGCCTTCAGCACTGGATACGGCCAGCCCACACCAGAATGTGTGCAATTCCTACTCCTTCTGTACAACCTAGATATCTAACACATTGCCCCATAGAGCGATGTACTTCATGGCCAGGTCCCCAAAGGATACAACATGCCCTCCCTTGTCACTTAGGCACATAACCCGGGGGAGAACGTCCTCCTCTTGAAGCCAGTGCCACAGGAGTTTGCAATTAACAATGTGGTCAGACAGGTGCATCATGGGAAGGTGAGCAGGAACATTGTCTGACAAGATTGAGACCTCCAAACCATTTTCTCTCTTCTTCAAGACTTTCACATCCACCATCTGAAGAGATAATGGGAGACATGTGAAAACACAGCCCTGTAATGGAAACTGTTAGGCACTTTCAAGGTCCCCATCCACTGCAATCTGAGGATGGCAACCACTGGGTTGTAGGGGTTCTAGCTTAGCATCCCAGCTATGGACAAGGACCAGTCTTATGCCAGTAGTGATGAACCTCTGAAACCCTTACATATTTGTTAAAAAGGATGACCATCCCCACCACCAGAGAGGGCAAAGCTCTGAAAAATCCATTTGATTTCAGATTTGTGGGAGGGTAGGCTCGCTTCAACTCAAGAGAACAATCCCAGTCTTGTAGCAGTGATATTTGTGCTCAAGTGCTGGTAGCATCTTCAACCCCAAAGGGATTCCAGAGCACATACAAATCCCACTATTTTCTTTGGATGGTACATATTTAGCCAACACTGTCATGCAGCCACCTCTGGAGCAAGACAAGGCGGCTGTTAGCACATCACAGCATTAGTTTCAGGGCCCAGAAGTGAAGCTCACTCCACCCACTGGAACTACTGATGTCTGCATCACAACTCCAAGCACAACCTCCTCTGCTTCTCCCACTTCAAAAGATGATCAGGTCCTCCACATGCATGCCTCTGGGAACAGCTTTTCTAGATGCAAACTGTTGCCCTGAATTGTCTCCCTACTGCTGTGCAAAGGGAGTGGAGACTTGTAGAGTTGATACCTGTCCAGTTTCATAGGTCACTTCCCGCTTTTTCTTTGGAGCCTGCTCTGCTTCGTCCTCCAAAGCTGATTTGCTAGTCAGGTTGAATGACAGCAGCAGTTTCTCCTGCTCAGGCTCACATTTGAGGATTGTTACTTTGACAACCTGTGAAAAAGAGAGGAAAAAGGGTTCAGCACCATATCCCCCATAGGGCCACCCCTGACCCTTCTATCCAGCACATTGCAGCAGGGCAAGCAAAGGCAGTGAAACAACCACGCAGCAATTCTTCTCTTCACAACCACAGGTCTCAGCTCCTTAGAGACATCAGCAAATTCAGCTTCACAAAGCCCACCAGAACAATAACCTCACTACAGATGGGAAACTGAGGAGTTCAGGGACTTGCCCAGGGTCACAGTGCTAGCTGGGAGCAGGTCTCAAAACACAGACCATATTTCTCAGCTCCCAGCCACACATCCAAGGGACAGAGACCTTCCTCTATAGCCAGCAGGATGAAGGACAGACAAAAGATCCAGAAAAAATTCTGACCAGAACCCAGACCTCACAGATGATGAATTAATCCCTTGATTCAAACAGCAGAGCCTGGGCTCTTCAACACTGGCTAAGGTACCAGGTCTGGAACAGGTCACTTAAAAAGACTGATGAAGCACCATCCTCCAGACCCTGAAAACAGGGTAAGCAAGGGCTGCAGCATAAATTCCCCAAACCCCTGCTGACCACCTTGACCAACAAACACTCTGGGGCCAGGCTCCTTTGTCCCCCCCACTTTGAGAGTCATGACTATTCATGACTATTAATCCCAACAGAAGGTAGCCCAGAAGCCATGGCAGCAGCTCATTTACAATGTGCATGAGCCAGCTGGCTTTAACTTGCTAGGTGCAGTGCCATCTCTAGCCAGCCTGTGTCTCCTACTCCCATCTTTACACAGGGAGGAGGTGGTAGGAGGCTGTTAGTTACCTGGCCTTCATAGAAGACTTTCTTCGGGGAAGGAATGGGCTCTGAGCCCAGCTCATTCCTGGGGACCAGGCCTTTAACATCATTGTAGAACTTAACGATGCAACCGAACTCCCTGGCGCATACCACAACGCCGTGCGTGACCAAGCCAGGTTTCGCAGCTGCGTAACTGGCAAGGACTGGAAGTTTGGAACCGACGAGAGTCTTCTTCAGAGTGAGGATGAGCTTCCTCTCTTCAGGATGGGACAGTAACACCTAGAGGAGCATGGGGAAAGGGTAAGGCAAGGTGAAGTGAACCAACCCTTGAGTTATACTCACTGCATACAAGCCACTTTCCGCCCCCCATATTTGCTTCAGATGTGCAGATGCTGTAGCACTTTTCCCCATTTTTGTGCCTTCTTTCCAAGGATCTCAAAGCCCTCACAGATATTAATGCAGAGGTAGAAGGCAGGCCAGGGTAGATGCTTAGAGACTAACTGGTTCAGAGGCCTGACCTTTCGTAGGTGGCAAACCCACTTTGTCAGATGCCTGAGGTTCATCCTTTAATCCAGAGGTGAAGCCTGCAAGGTAGCCTGGACATGTTCTCTGCCTTGGAAGCTCTCATGGGGAAGAAACATGTTGCAGTAGGCCAACAGACCATCCAGGAATGAAACAAGCCACTCCTTGCCTCACCCCCTCAAGTGTTTGCATTTTCAACCCAAACCTTGAGCTAATACCAGACACAGCTGGGAGATGATACCAGCTTGGTATCATGGGAAATGTCCAAAAGGAAACCAACTGTGCACCAACACAAAGCACCATGTGACCTGGTAGCCAAGTTCAATAGAAAAACTACCACTTTGGAAAATGCTCTCCAAAAACTCATGCCTGTTATCAGCTAGATCAGTATCAAGACTGTGCCCCAAAGGACATACATAGTAGTTAGCAACAGCAAACACACCAAAAAAACAGGATGGCAAACTATATGTACACATGTGGAAAGAGAAGCAAGTAAGTGTAAAGCCAGCACCTAAATCATAGAATCATAAAGTCGGGTCGGAAGGGACCTTGTAGATCTTCAAGTCCGACCCCCTGCCTGGACAGGAGAAAAACTGGGCTCAAATGACTCCAACCAGGTAGGCATCAAGCCTCTTCTTACAGACCCCCAGGGTAGGAGCCAGCACCACTTCCCTTGGAAGTTGGTTCCAGATCCTAGCCGCCCTAATGGTGAAGTAGCTCTTACAGATGTCTAATCTAAACCTCCTCTCCAATAACTTGTGGCCATTGTGCCTTGTTATGCCAGGGGGCACTCAGGGAAACAAAGTCACTCCCAAACACTTCTGGTCCCCCCTAGTGAGTTTATAGATGGTCACCAGGTCCCCCCTCAGCCTCCTCTTGTGAAGGCTGAACAGGTTCAGGTTCCGCAGTCTCTCATTGTACGGTCTGCCCTGTTGTCCCCAGATCATGTGGGTGGACCCTCAATGTTGTCCACATCCCATGTTCTACCTCCTTCCAAGGAAGACTTAGCTGTGAAAAGATGCTACCTGGATCTATTTTAAAAGGGGAGGGGAGACTGCTCCAAATGTACATGTGGCCAGATCCAGTGTTAAAGTACTATCATTTCAAAGCACTTTCACTGTTTGTCTATTCCAAGACGGCATTCATCAAAACACAACCCAACAGAGAAGCTAGCAATACTGACAGGCATCGGCAGGGAGAACTGCTGGGATTTAAAATCCTTTACGAGGTTTGTTTTAGAAGCCAGTACATGTCCATTCATCTCCATGTGTCTTTTCAAGTCGTGGCTGCAGTTTACGAAGCTGTTAAATGTAGTTAAGTGAGCGTATTTGGTACTTCAAGACTGTTTTATGAGAGGATCTCCGAGTATTGTAGTGAAAGGCAGCAAGGCTCACTGTCAGTGCTTTACCAACAGGAAACAGTTCACAAAGAGTGAACTGAAAACGCAATTACCTTTAGGGGAACAAGTTAAACACCCATGGCCTGATTCTCAGTGACTTGTGGCATGAAGGATGCTCAGACACTCAGAAAAAATAAACCCCCCCAAAAAAATCAGTCCCTAGCTGTTTCTGAGGCCCAACTAGGCACAACGAGATTCCCAGCCTGGATTCATGCAGCAGCAGGTATAACCTGCCACACAGCAGGTGTAACCTGCTAGGCCACACAGCAGCAGATCTGCCACCAGGGCCCACATCTCCTAACATTCAGTCTGATGCCCAGCAAGGAGGGGAGCAGGGAAAAGGGAGTGATTTCATTTTCACATGTGCTAGCTGTTTATGAGTGTGCAGTGCCTATGTGTGCACACATCCCTGTGGAAGAAGAGAGGATGGAGTCAGTCTTTAAGCATTCAGGCACTGCTCTGGTGGAAGAGTGCGATTTAAAACAAAGTCAGCCCCCAACCCCTGTCGGGCCCATGGCTGAGGTCTCACCCGGCACTTGACTTGCTCTCCCACGCTGTACTTCTTCTCAGGCTGCTTCAGAAGCATGTCTGCCAGGTGCAGGCGAGGCACCAGTCCCCTGATGTGATCAGTCACCTTCACCTGCATCCCATGGGGTTTCAGAGCCAACACCTTGCCCTAGAGCCCCCAAAGAAGAGAACAGGATCAGCCATTGTCCGCGTGTGGGGAAATGGCCAACTTATAGGCCAGACCACCCACCTACTACCACCACCAAACAAACCCAGGTCACCTGGAGATCCATCTACCACACTAGATACATGCCAGGCTCCAGCTGTACATGAGAAGCAGCACAGCTCCCCTTGTAAGACTGTGCTGTATTCATGGAGCATGTCCTGGCTCTGCTGAAGTCAGGGACAAAATTCCCATTGACTTCAGGAACTGAGGACCTTACATATCTGACTGTATGTCTATCCAACATGCAATCAGGTACGCTGGGCTTTGGAAAGGCTGTGATACCCTCACAAGCAATACATCTGGGTCAAAACCTCACTCAGCACAGTTACTTGCAACTGAATTTTGCTAGTACTGTTCTTGAATTCTCAAGTGCCAAGTCCCAGAGGGCATGAACAAGGCAGAGGGAAAATGCATTAGCTTAACTGTTCCAGCGAGCAAAGGACCCAACAGCACCACATATGTAACATTCTCCCTGATCTTACCTCCACCACGTGCCCAGGAGGGATGTCCTCATATCTCAGAAACGGAGCATCAATAATTTGACTAGGAAGAGACATAGCAAGGGCTGGCCTGTAAGTCAGCTTGAACTTGGAGGGAAACCCAGCAATGATAAAGACCATCCTGCCCTCACCTCAACTCGCAGACCTCCAGAATTCCTCCCTTCCCCCAATCACTTCAGTTGTTGGTCCCCCCACTGTCCCAGTAACTCCTTCCTCCCTCTCCCCCTGAGATTTTACCAGCACAGCTAAGTCAGACAAGGTAGGGGTGCTCTTTCCACACCCTCCTAGCTGTCACAATGCTGGCTAAACTCCATGGTGGAGACTATGCAAACAGCAAGCTGGAAACTCCAGGTTCTGGGCCCCAGCTAACCAAAACAGCATGATTTTTGCTGCCTGTCATCAATACTTTCACCCCCTTACATTCACAAACAATTCAGTAACTGACTGCAGAACTTACCGCTTCAGGGACAAAATGGCCACCTCATCCATAAGGCTGTAGTCAATGATTCGACATTTGTGTTTGCTTCCTGTCTTAAAAGTCCTGGGCTTGAAGGAGTTTATGGTGTTTGAGAGATGTCTCAGCTATGAAAACAAAGAGATGACAAACTATTTGGAAACAGAAGGTGGAGTTGATTGGCACAAGTGAGACTGGGGGTTCTCTGGAAGGGATTCAGCAATTCTCACATGGGTGCTGCTAAGCCAGAGATCCAGAGATCCCAGCCCCATGGGAGGTCCATGCAAGCTAACATCCACAGCAGACCTCTGTGGTGCTGCAGCTGTCACGTTAAGGGTAACCTACCAAGCCCAGGGAAAGATAGCCCCACAGCAGCCTGGACTGAAGGCATCACCCACTTCAACTTCAAGTCATTAAGATGGTATTGAATATTTCACCTGTTTTCTGTGGCATCAATTAACTTCCCTGATAAAATCCCAGAAGGAGCCTATCCTACCCAGCAAGGGTTAAGTGTCATCTCCCCACCTTGTACCTCGTCTCCCGTTTGCAAAAACAACCCCGCTGCCCCCAGCACACCCCATACACCTCAACAAAGAGCAGGTTTGGGTGGAGTTTGCCTCTATTCAAATCAAATCCCTCCCTACCCAGTAGATTTCATCTGGACAGACAGTTGTGTGTTTCTGGAAGCAGAAGTTTAAAATGGCAAAACCCACTTCCTGTTGCAGTATGTACCACCCATGGAACCCTACCATGTTCCAGATGCAATATCACGTTAAAAAGAACATTAAAAATATACATTTCCTTCTTTAGTTGTTACTACTGTGGATTATTAGCCTGGGATTAATGACTTTTCCTGATAACTCTCTTCTCCTGGATAACACAAAGACTGACAACAGATTTTCACTTCACAGTTCTTGCACATTAACAGCACATGGTGATGTTCACATGTCAAACACTATGGAGGAATTATACTACAATGGGTTTCCACATAATGTTATCACACTGCTCCCTCAGAAACTATCTTTTGGTCAGCGATTGCACACAAACGTCTAGCAGCTCCATCACCACAGTCACCTGGCCCTAGCTCCCATGGCATTTATTACTGTACTTACCCGTGCAAAGGCCAGAGTGCCATCCTCCAGCTCAAAGATGGCACCAGCCTTTTTGTAGAAGCCCTTCACTGTACACTCTGCCACCACAGCCCCAAAGCGATCACTAGAGAGCTGGCTTAGCAAGCCACCAGGCTGGAAGAAGGCCTGCCGTAAAGTGAACCGTACTGCCTTGGATGTAGGGTGGACAGACAGGATGCAGGCTTTTACCTGGGGAGAAGACAACAGCACAGTGTAGGCCAGCAATGGGAAGACGTGAAAGTGTTTTCAATCACACATCCTATCATTAACCGTTGCAACAGATCCCTATGCTGTATCTTTGGGACTTCAGAGGTGACAGAATGCACTATGTCAAACCCAGTATCTTTACAGGCTGGGAAACTCTTCTTTAGTTATTTACACTGGAGAGGCTAGTTTGGTGCCAGCGAGGTGGGAAGAATGTGACTGCAAGCAGTAAGTCCTCCCCAGAAGCCATTCCCCATTCTGCACATGTTCAGCTTCTCAAACTGTAAGCGTAAACTCTCCGTTAGCTATACCCTCTGGCTCCCAGAGCTCCTAGTGACACATTCAGAATTCAAAAGAGGCAGTGGGGGGAGGAACTGGGCAGAAAGCTTGGGAAAATAAAATACTCAAAGCTAATTCTGCCAACCATCCTACCAACTGTCGTTGACCCCCTCCCTCCTTTACTAAGGAGTTGTTAAGGAAGAAAAGGAAAGAGGGAATTTACAGAGCTTTCTGGTTCCCACAACCACACCCCCATCTACTTACAGTCTGGTTTTGTGAATAGCTCCCCACTTTTTTGGGGTCCAGATGCATGAAGTCCACGATCCCAGTGAAGGAAGACAGGAAACTCAGAGTGAGACCATATGGAGTCACCTAAAGGGAAGAAAGACATTCTTCAGCAGGGCACGTCACAAATAGACATCCCACTGGTACTCAGCAGCAGATACATTGACCAGAACAGGCCCATGGCTCAGGTGTCTACTTCTTGCATCTGCTAGAAAAGAATCCTTCAGCATTTGTCGTGAAAGCCATAGAGGGCCCCAAGCCTCCAGAGCTACCCATTTCTTTTGCATTCTGGGATTCCAATTTTCCTTGGAAAATAGACTGTGCACATTGTCATGGTTCCACAGAGCTCGTCATGAGCCAAAAACCCCACAGCGAGACAAGGCACAAGAACATGGAACTCCTGAGCTTGCAAAAAAAAAAAGTAAATAAAGCTTCAGAGCCTGAACTGAAGCTTTGATTCTGCCAAAAGCATGGAACAAAAAGCTGGGCAGGGGGAGCTGTTCCCATTCATGGGAAGGGGTATTGACATGGCATCTAATGCTGCCACTTCTAATGCTTGAAGCCTTACTAAGTTTACCTTGATGAAGGCAGAGCACAAATGGGGGGGACTAGATTGCTGCAGTCTTCCAAAGAGGTGTCTCCAGAGGGTGGAGTTTAGGGGAGAGCCACCATTCTATGGGGCTCCCTCCCGTGTCCCTAGGTGCAGCAGGAAGGGCAACTAGTCCAGGGAAGGGAAAGCCTGACACTCCATCAGTACCACAGCAAGCTGCCACCTTTCACCTCCAGCCTCATGTGGGAACGGAAGGGCTCACCAACTCTTTAGTAGCAAGGCTGCGGTAGGAAGGGTGATGCTGTGATGGGACACTAGGTCACCTGCTCTCGTGCTTTCCGAGTCAGACCTACTCATCTGCAGAGAAAAGGCAGACCTTACTCCTACGGAGTACCTGCTCTTCCTTTACACTACAAAATCACAAAGTGGCTCATCAGCACTGCAAGCCAAGGGGCTTTGTAGTTGGCAGCACAGAGCTCAGATCCCACGCCAAGCCAACAGGGCCAGCAGGCGGAACGTCCTTACTTGGATTTGCATATTCTTCCAGTTCCAGCTCACGCTTTTCAAGGCAGAACATATCCCTGGCCAGCCGTCCCTGCCCACCCAAGCCCTAGGTTAACAAATGCAAGTTTACCTTCTGAACCTGGGCTTTCACCACCAGCCCTGGCAGCAAGTTACTGAGCGTCCAGTTCTGTTCTTCTGTCGCAATGGCAGCAGCAACCTCAGATCGACCCACAGACAGACGGACAATCCTCCCACTGTTCTTCACCTCCTCAACAAGACAGTTCAGGTACTGCCCTATTTTCAGCTCAGCCCCTACAAACACAGGACACATGCCAGATAACCCACTGCCTTGCTAGTCACCTTCTGAGCCAGAACTTGGAGCCTCCCTTCTGCAGATGGGAGAGATGCTGAAAGGGAGTTTAGTCCTTAGCCCCACTCAGCCTCTATGCAGCCACACATTGGTTGGGGATGATCTAGGCACAGCTATGCCTATGTTCTACTATGAATATTTCCTAGGCTTTTGCTAGCTGCTGCATGGGGTGGGAGGAAATTCCAGCTCCCTCCCTCTCCCTCGCTGCTATTCCTGTGTTAGGAGGTTTTTTTAATGCCTTCCTCCAAGGCACTGGGTGTTGGATGCAGCCAAAGCTGGAGATTTTCACTGAGCTGTGCCAGTGCTCCTGCTGAGACTTAAACCTACAGGATCCTGGCTAGATGGTCTTGCCCCTCTGCTCAGGGCTAGACCATATCACCATTTTTAGGGTCAGGAAGGAATTTGATCCTGCTTGGAGCAGGGGGTTGGACTAGATGACCTCCAGAGGTCCCTTCCAACCCTAATTTTTTTTTTTTTTTTTTTTTAATTACCTCATGGTTAGATTGATATTTACTGGAGGGAGAATGGGGGGAACCTTCCCTTGTAGCTGGGGGCATGACCTCTTCCTGGGATCTCTTCAGTGTATAGAGGTTTCCCTCAATTTATGTGGTACATGCATTCCTGGAGAACATCACATAAATTGAACTTGCATAAAGCGAACCTATTTTATGTAGAATGTAAGAAATAGGGATAGGTTCCTGTGCCGGCTGCTCCCGGGGCCACTCCAGCATGGGCTGGGGTGACTACGGACAAACGGAGCCCCAGGCAGCGCAGGGCATGGCACTCACCCTAGCCCCAGCTGCAGTGGCCCCGGGAGATGCCGGCACCAGCTGCCTCCACCAGGGTACAGTGCAGCCCAGTGGCTACAGGGAGCTGGCATCGGCCACTCCCAGCTGCAGCAGGAGCTAGGGTGAGTGGGGACAGGCAGAGCCCCAGGGGGTTCGGAGCATGGTGCAACCCAGTGGCTGCAGGCAACTGGTGCCGGGAGCTCCCAGGGCCACTGCAGCCAGGGCTGGGGTGAGTGCCGCGCCATGCACCACCTGGGGCTCCACTTGTCCACACTCACCCCAGCCCATGCTGGAGTGGCCCTGGGAGCAGCAGACACAAGAACCTATACCTATTTCTTACATTATAAAGTAGGTTTGCTTTATGCGGTGTTCTCCAGGCCTATGCCAATTGCATATATGTGAATTTACCTCACATATAATGAATTCCCGGTACAAAAGGGTCATCACATAAGAGCAAATTCGCATAAATCAAACCTGCATAAATCGAGGGAAACCTGTATTAACAACTTTATACAGCAGCAGGAAGTTGGCTACTCTGGACCCCCAGCTTTCCTTGAGGCAGGTTTGGGTGTGATATCTTGTGCTGTGTCAGGGTTGACTGTGTAGTTTTATTAAGAGGTCAAATTATGGATTTGTACAGGATGGTTTTGACAGGGATAATGTTGTCTCAGACCAGTGGTTGGAGTAGATGTGACCTATGGAGGTCCCTTCCAGCCCTACTTCTTTATTATTCTATGAGCAATAGCCAGTCAGAACAGAAGGATCTGTAATGGAGACATTGCTCCATCAGGAAAAGTCCACTGCCTAAATGCCACTGAACCACCAACTGCTGGTAGAGACCATGGGTCTCACTGACCTGAGCTGTGTTTGCACCAACGATGCAGAGGTGAAAGGCTCCAGGCCATCCCTATTCCTTACCTTTAGCTTTACCATGCACAACTCCACCTTACCTTTGTTGGATGATTTGAGGTAATCCTGGGCTTTCTGACGAGGCAGGAATGCTTTAGTGCCGCTGATTCCAACATCGATGAGGTAGCCGTGATCTTCCACACTGGATACCAAGCCAGAAAGCAGCTGTGAGGAGGGAAGCATTACCACTCGACATCACGAACAATGCGACTCTGTCAGCAGGCTGCCTGCACGCAAGTTTCCTCCCACCATGGGGCCAGGATCCTGGAGTCATTTACACTGCTTTGGATACATTCAACTCTCCCTACCAAGGAATCTATGGTATCTTTGGAAAATGTATTCTTGTTCTGCTTGTCCAGCCAAGGCAGGTATCCCAGGGATTTCTGGCCAAGTGCAGCTTTAATAACAAAAGGACTTTGAAAATTAATAGCCGTGCAAATTAGACACGTGCCCATCATCTGAATGAAGCTGTGACCATGAACACAATTAACTAAGCACAAAACATCTCTCTTAAGTAGGTGACTAAATATTATGCCTGGTTTGCTGATAGAGAAACTGAGGCATAGACAAGAGATTAAGTGACTTGCCCAAAAACAAATGAGTCAGTAGCAGAGAAATCTCTCATAAATCATAACTCTCAGACCAGAGCTTATTGCTCTATGCTGTGCTACCTACCAAAATAATTACACATAGAAAGAAAAATACCAATTCTTTCTTTGATTCCATGCAAGGACAAAATGAATCTACTCAAGGTGTGTATACAGGGAAGGGGCAGGAAGGAAAGACCTCACTAACATCCAGGGAGGCCTCCGTGAATCCATAACACATACCATGCCTGATCTAAGAGCCAAGGTGTTCAGAGCCTTGTTGACATCTCTGGGGTTAATAGACAGCTTGACACTCTGATGTCCATCTGTGGTCTTCTGCAGACTGGTCACAGCACATCTCACCAGCATCCCTGGTGGGTACAGGTCTGACAGCGAATTCAAATCCTGAACAGCAATAAAATCAAAGTACGGGCAAGAAAAGGCTCAAGATTAGCAACGTTAACTGATGCTGGATCTTAGAATGTTTCAGGGAAGAAGATTTTGAAATACAGAGCCGAGGGGAAAGCTCTGTTCTCAGCAGTACAACCAGGCAGAATGTACAATGAAGTCTGGGAACTCAACGTACAGCTAATTCAGGACACCAGCAAGGAAGGAGGCATGTAAGTGAGGTTTGCTCAGGACTCATATAGCCAGGGGTGACACAAATCAGAATGAGGGCACACCACCTGACCCTATTATGGTCCCACTCTCAGGTCCCTTTTTAGCAAAGAGGCACAAGGCATGAAGAGAGCTGGGACTGTTTCTCATCTCTCACTACAAAGACCCCTTCCAAGCACAATTTTAAACAAGCACTTGCTGAGGCCTGGGCATGGACTTGGTCCACCTCCTCCTTTGGTACATTCATGCTCTCAAGGAATTAGACAGGCGACTTTGAACAGACCCCTGCATTGAATATCAATCTGCAGTATCTTGGCTTGGTGAAGAATATCACAGACCAACGTCTGGGGGATGGCTTGGGGAAGAGGGTAAAGTTTTCTCATCCCTGCTGGGAAGTGAGACATCTAAATGACACCCTGATTTCACCCCCTTTCTCCCCCACAGTAGGCTTTAAGGCTGGGGAACCACTGCTCAGTTATGGCTGCTGTTGAACACCCTGAGCTTGCTGGGTTCACAGGCTCTGCTGGTGAAGGAAACACAAGGCCAGGTAAAAAGTGATCCA